TAGGAAGAGTAGTGTTCATGAACTTTAAAAGTTCAAGTTCGTGAACCACACAAACTTGCAAATTTCACGATTGGTGTTGTAATTGGACGAGGTTCAAAAATTCATTGTATTTACAAATTTAATCAAAAAAAATCCATAATAAAATCTAATAAGCAAACAATAATTTTTTTTTACAACAATATGCCAACAGATTCATCATAAATCTAAAATTTTCCAAAATCAAAATTCCACCAATATTATCATTTTTCAAATCCATAAAACAAACGATGCCAAAGAGAATTCATTATCCTCCTTCGTGTATCTCTGTATATTGGCAAAATTTATACTATATCTATAATATGTCAAGAATAAGTTGGTCTCAATAACTCGAGTTGTTGGAAGAGATTCTGTTGTGTATCATATATAATTTATTAACACACTCCTCACATGAAAGTCACTCATACAGACTTGAAATTTGCATGGGTCCGGTCACTATGTACTTAGCAGAACATGTGGGAGTTATTGGGATTCAAAGAGATTTGATCACAGAAAGTCCAAATACCATGTCGAGAAGCAATTGTTTTTATTCTCCAGAAACATCCCCCTCCCCACACACAAAACGCTTAAGCGATAGCAGAGCGAGACCAGAACTGGGGGTTCACCTGCTTGAGCCCTTTGGGCTCTCCATAAATATCCCCATTTTATGCATCTGGGAACACTATAACGGGCCTCGATGAGGGTCGAACACAAAATCTGTCACTTCCCAAAACTAGGACCCACTAAAGATTTCACGATTTCACTGCTAGACTATGTGAAATTTAACATGTCAAGAATCAATTAATTCCAATAACTCAAATTATTAAAAACAATTGATTGTGATCCTATACTCTTTATTAACCTAATATACTCCCTCCTATTTAGTCAAAACTCCTTATCCAGAAAGGGGGTCGTACTACAACTCTTAATCCAAAAGGGGAAAGAAAAGATCATTCTAGAGTTCTAGGTATGTAAATGCATTCACATGTGAGGATTTCACCTTTTCAATTTTTATATTGATTAATGAGGTAGTGCCCTTTTTCATGTTTCTCTCGTTCCCAACTTTCTTTGATCGAATAGCAATAATTAGCTTTGTAGAATTGTTGATATGACCATGCTCCAGCCTCCAAGCAATATAATCAATGTTGAATCAACGTAATCTTGTGAATTGTGATACACAGACACGCACTTTCCACGTCCATTATCAGATTATCCCTATAGGATAAACTCTACACTCTATCCGTTTCCATTAATATGTGTATGATGAAGATTGAATCACAAGCGTACTCTTTTGCCCCATTCACGTGTAATTTTCTCAACATTTAATGGATGGATTGATCAATCTATCACTCTTCAAGAACCTTCACCACCATTTTGTTTAGAGTAAGGGAGAATCGGTTTCACATTAGACCCGATCAGTTCGATTGATTAAGTTAGAGAATCGGTATCAAGTTGTTACGAAAATGGTCCCGAAAAATTTCCACACCTCAAACGACCCACGTGTATGCTCTGTTGGACGATCAACGACATAATTGAATCGAGTCTGTTTGTCAGACCAGCGACTATTTAATTGCCCGCAAAATTGGGTTATACTATGCAATATATTTCCCATTAAATCAAACTTATCAAAACGTGACAAAATTTGCCACGACAATTCCTGTCTTGAACCAAACTCTTACTTTAGATAGGACTACAAGTAACAAGATTTCAATTGGATTTATTTACCTTTCACTATGATCAACTACCCGCCGTCTTTTAATTTGGGGTTTGACGAAGCGAAATTTACAGTGAAGTGTAATGACACGGCTCTACACATAAACCCATTTTGTCCTAATGACCTTATCGTTAATTAGGACTGGTAAGTAAGAAAGTTGAATATAATTCCACTTATGGGATTGTATTGGACTAGAGCTAGTTGAATTGAGAGACCATAGTTAAAATTAGAAGTTGAGTTAATGGACTCTCCGGCCAAAGTTGTTGACGATAACGTACGGTGGTTAATTCCGGCTGACTCGTATCCACGTCCAAAATGTCTATAGCATGCCTGCGACTTTTCTTCGTGGCGTTCTCACTAAACATGGGAATGATGCACAACCGTCAATAATATACATATATATGTTGTACGCGGAATATTATAGAGGTCACAAATTTAGCTAGCTAGGGCATGTGTATGTGCCTGTGATCCACGAATGGGGAAACAAACGGTAAACGAAATTATGTAGTTCATTAGTATAATGTGTGCTAAGCCAGGGGAGAACAAATCCCACCATTACTTTTGTCAGAACAGAAGCGTGGCAATCGATAATCCAAACTAGCATGAACGAACACAAATTTAACGTGGTTCACTAACACAATGTGTGCTAGCTAATCCACGGGCACGGGGGACAAATTTCACTAATTTGAGGAGAGTAGAGGTTACAAACCAAATTCCAAACGGACAAACCAAACAAACTAACCTGGCTGACCTTCCTACAGACTAGGGTGATGAAGAGTATTTATAGAACTCTTTTCCTAATCCCAAACAGAAAACCAAATACCTTTTCCCAAACATACAAGGAAAAGGTCAAACAAAGCCCAAACACAAACCCAAACTAAATATGCCCAAACACAAAACAAACCCAAATCAAATTCAAGTCATATTCTAACAATCTCCACCTTGACTTGAATTCTCTGTCAAATACTAGATGTACCAGATGCAACCAAAGTTGCCAGATGTACCCAGACGCGATACATATCGCCAGACGTATCCAAATGCGATCGAAACCGCCAAACTCAAACGCAATCAAGATTGCCAGACATATCCAAATGCGATTCATATCGCCAGACCAAACGCGATGCAAATAGCCAAACTCATATGCAATCAAAATTGTCAGACGTACCAAACTTCTCCAAATCAGCTGTACCAGAATCTCCCCTGCCTCCAGATGCCCCTAAGGGCGGTCAACAAATCAAAACATGTAGCAAGTCCAACCCATGTTGGGACTTGCCATGCAGAACCAGCTTGGTGTTATTTCCGTCCATAACACCAACATCAAATTTACTGCTAACTCCAAACATGCAACTCCAAACTGACTTCTCGATCTTCATACTGATAGCAACCATTCTTACTATCAAACAAACTCCAACCAAACTCGACAAAGCAAAACTTCAGTCCAGCGCCAAATTCCCAAAACCGCAACCAAAGCCACTGATACCACTTGTCAGAACAGAAGCGTGGCAATCGATAATCCAAACTAGCATGAACGAACACAAATTTAACGTGGTTCACTAGCACAATGTGTGCTAGCTAATCCACGGGCAGGGGGGACAAATTTCACTAATTTGAGGAGAGTACAGGTTACAAACCAAATTCCAAACGCACAAACCAAACAAACTAACCTGACTGACCTTCCTACAGACTAGGGTGATGAAGAGTATTTATAGAACTCTTCTCCTAATCCAAAACAGAAAACCAAATACATTTTCCCAAACATACAAGGAAAATGTCAAACAAAGCCCAAACACAAACCCAAACTAAATATGCCCAAACACAAAACAAACCCAAATCAAATTCAAGTCATATTCTAACAACTTTTTTAGGACCATAGAGTAGGTTGCACACTAGTCTGAGAGCTATTGAGTTTTAATTGTTGGATTTGAAAAATGAGAGTTTTTGTTAAATGAAAATTTTGAAAAAACGATTTATGTGATTTGGTTCATTAATTATGGATTTTTTTATTTGTTTGTGAATTTGTTGGTTGATTTTCATGTGGTTATATTTTGGTTAGTGATTACACCGATAATTAACGGTTAACGATTATTACCATTAACCAGTTATTTTTTTTATAATGGTGAACTTTTATAAAAGAAAAAAGAACAAGTTCAATCCACTCTTGTTGGTCGTACAAGAGCAAAAGCTAGCTTCACAAGGGGTGAAAGCCAAGCCAGAAAAACAGGTCTAAACCCATTGTTTTATCAGCGTTGCTTGGATTTAGTGGGCCAAGCAGTAGTGGAGGTTTCACAATCCTGTTGGATGGATCCATCTCGTCAATGCTACCATTAAAGCGGTCGGTGCTGATTGAACAATTCCGTCCAATCAGCATCTACAACGTGGCATACAAGATGATACCAAAGTGTTTGGTCACAACAGGTGCATCTCCGAGCTTTATAGACCGCACGATGAGCTGCATATCCACAGCGAGCATACAAATCCACTGGAATGGTGGACTTACAGAAGCTTAGGAACCATCTAGGGCACTACGACAAGGCTACCCTCTCTCTCCATATATATTTACACTATGTATGGAGAGATTGTGATATTTAATTAGTCGTACAGTGGAGGAGGGGAAGTGGCAGCCAATCAAGTTGCTGGGCAGGGCCCTGGATTATCATTTATTTTTCGCTGATGACTTGATTTTGTTCAGTGTGGATTCTTTGGACCAGGTTCAAGTTATACTCCATTTCCTTGAGGGGTTTGGCGTGGCATCCGGACAACAAGTCAATCAGCCCAAATCAAGGGTTTTTTTCTCGAAGAATGTCTTGGAAAATTTAAGTGTGGAGCCTTAAGTAGTGCACTGTATATCACAAATACTAACCATCTAGAACGATACTTAGGTGTCCCAATGATTCATGACAGAGTATCCAAGTCTACCTTTACATACCTCAACGAGGCATCGACTCAAGATTAGCGAGTTGGAAGGTGAACTTCCAACTAATTTTTTGCAAGACTGCTGGTTACAGGACGAGCATTCGCTGGGGGCATTCACTGCTAATCTTCCAGAAGAAGCGGAGTATTTGACGGTAGCCGAAGTGGGGCTCAATGGAACTAGCCCAAGAATTGACTCCTCTCCTCTTGCTATCTTCTCTTGGAGCTTGTGTAGAAATATATATCTCTGGGTCTTCGAGAAGAAGAAGCTCGCATCGGTGCATGAGTTGGTGCAGCAAATTCGGGAATTGCGGTTCAATTAAACATATAGAACTTGCCGGCCTATCTCATGGCTTGAGTATCGCAGGAGAAGCAGGCTTCCGACAAGTTATGGTACAGACAGATTCGATGACGACCATCAGGCTGATATAGTCGGCCTCGACGAGACATCCACATAGCACTTTGATTTCGGAGATCTGTAGGTCGATGTAGCGAGATTGGGAGGTGCAATTCATACACGTTTTTTCGGGAAGGCAACTTTGTAACCGACTATATGGCCTCTTTGGGTCACTCTTTGTTGATGTGGTCCATTTGTTTGATAATCCTAACGCGTTGCTGAACTATTGTCTGTACTTTGATACTATTGGTGTTCATACCTCTCGACCAATTAATATACAAGGGTTAGGGTGTCACTAGCGCTATGTATTACACAAAAAAAAAGTTATACAATCACAAGCCACAACGTAACTTGGTAACTGAGGCCTTGGGTTGAGATACCTTGGACTCAAATTGGGTTCGTAGTCCAGCAAAAGCTTTGCCAAAATAATGGGCCCGTGAGTTGGAAAGAAGATTAGGCCCATTTCGCTGGCCTGTTTGTAACCAACTCCTTTCTTTTGTGGACCTCTTATTCGTCTTCACTTCTTCCCCAACAAACACTTCCCAGTTTCCGTACCGAACCACAGAAAAAAAGGCGTCTCCATTTTTCGGCATCGCAGAAAAGGAGCTGTGGCTTTGCCTGCCGTGCTGGGGGAAGCCAATAGAGCGCGCCAAAAGGAAATGGGCATTGGCAAGAAGACATAAAACCTTTGATTCCAGCTCTCAGAGTGAAATGGTTCAGTTTCTGGGTTCAGTTCGAGTGACACCTTACACTCTGTCCAATTTCGCGCATTCCAGACACCACATCCCACTCAGCAGCAGCTCTTCGTTTCCCTCCTCAAGAATTGGCTTCTCTCCTTTCAGGAGGATTCTCCGAGCTTGCATTCAGTCAAGTACGTTCAGTGTCCAAAGTTTCACTGTTCTTTATGCCTTGTTTTGAATTGGGTAGCTGGAAATTTGAAGCTGAAAGAAATATATGGAGTCAAAATTTGGAGCTTTGATTCAATCAGGTTGGAATGGAAGCATGGGCGGTGCTACATTCGACTGGGTTGTACTTCCAATTGCCTTGTTTTGCTCCCATTTGGGTTCAACCTTCTGCAACTTCTGGCAGAGTGGCAGTTATAGTAGGATCTACTTGCATCATTTTTTATAGACAAACTTTAGTTTAAGGTCCTTGACTCCTTGTAGAGGAACCTCGAATGACTGTGGTACCCAACGGCAACATTCTCTTCAATTCTTTGCGTTTTATCCTTTGTTCCCGATGGTGTTAGAATTGGTATTAAAGAGACACATTCTTGCTCTTTTTGGGACATCAGATGGGGGGTTTTGTTTTACTGAATGGGAATGCTTTTTCTAGTAGAAGATAGTTCTCGGTTCAAGTAGCTATCAGTTTATCTTATGTGCACCATGCACAGACACAGAGGGATCTACTTTTGTTTTGTCATGGTTTTTAATAGGTTATTGGTATGCAAGTGGATTATGTTCTAACAAGGGATCACTTACAGATTCATGTGGGAAATTTGACACACAGTTACCTTCGGACCAGCCTGAGATCATGTTCTTGGGAACAGGAACTAGTGAAGGCATTCCTCGTCTAAGTTGCCTGACTAATCCTCTGAAGAAGTGTGAGGTATTGTCACCAATTTGAACACCGTTTCTACGTTTATATCCTGTGCAGGGTTGGATGTCATCTTTGAAGTTTGCACTTAATTCATCACGATTTGATCTGAAAATCCTTCTTGGTTTCCTAGGTTTGTTCAAAAGCAATAGAACCTGGTAATAAGAATAAGGGGCTGAACACAAGCATCCTCATTCTTGATAGATGCTGGAAAGTAAGTGGAGCTTCATCTCATGTTCTGGCATGATGAACATGCATTTATTACTAGTTTGGAAATGCTTTTGCGGTGGGGTTTACCTCAAGCCGATAAAGGAATTCGTGTTGTTCTGGAAACTATCTATTGGGACAAACAATTACTTTTAATGAAGAATAGCCTTCATCATGATTTCTTGGATTAAATTTGCCATTTTTTTAATATATTTTGCAGGTTTTTCTACCACAGTGCTCTTCGGTGGTTTCCTGCATATGGGTTTGTTCTTATTCTACATACTCATAGCATTTCCACTGAAAGTATTATGAGTTGGTAAAATGACATTATCAATTTGTATGAGATTAGTGTTGCTTTAGTAATATCATTGACTAATTTCTTACCTGACTTCTGCATTTTCAATAAGTTTCTATGTCTACTGAATGAGAAGGGATGGTAGTGTTGCTCACTCGCTTTGCTTGGTCCTTTAGCTATCCAGTAGGCAGTAACTGACAGTTTAATTAGAGATGGCCATGAATTTTCATGTATTAGATGGATGAGAGTCTACACACCTTTCAGCATATAACAGTATTTTGAAACTAACTGCAATGTCTTGTACTCATGTTTTCAGTAATTTCTTAAAGGATCTAGCGTTAGCAGCACATAACCATTTTTAGCTCTGAGAAGGATTTAAATTGGTTAGAGTTCTCATGCTTCTGCAACGAGGTAAGCTGACTGTTTGCCTGTTTCCTCCGTTATTGTCTGTGCACTTTCGTACGGTATTTCCCCACATATAGCGACTTCAAATTTCTGTCAGGCTAAGAACAATTGATGCGGTTGTTATTACTCATTCTCATGCTGATGCCATTGGAGGTCTCTGACACTAACTTCCGAATCCGTTTCTAGATAAAAGCCTTAAAGTTAAGATATGCATGACATTTTGAGTCATAGATGGTATAATTAGTTTAACTATTTTAGAACCAGAAACTAAGAGAACGTGCAGCAATTTATATAACCAAAACTTAGAATTATGGCTTTCTTTCTGTTTTGATGTTTCGAAGTGCACAATTTAATCAAATTGACTGGCATTTGTTGTTACAGTTTACACCTTTGACGGTCTGGCATGGAAAAGCTTACCGCTCCCTTGGTTTTCGATTTGGTAACGTATTTTACATCAGGTAATAATAATCTTGCCCTCTAAACCATAGTCTCTAATCTCTATCCTTCCATACCATTTAGTTCGATCCCAAGAAGTAGAGAATCTCCTTAATCCTGTTTTCATATTACAGTAATGTCAGTGATTACCGGATCAAACATACCCGCTTCTCGAGGATTGTGACCTCCTGATCATGGTTTCTCTCTCTCTTACCAAAACATACTTCTTTTGCCTTATGCTCCGATGTCATTGGCTTATTGATTATACTTCAATCAAAAAAATTCAGGATGATTTGAGGCCGGATCGATCTTCCACTACACACTTTGGACTCCCAAGGGTATGTTCCACGCTATGCTACATTTTTTTTTCTTCTCTCTTTCAGTTCATGAAGATTGAGTCAGATACAGACGGGTCAGCTGCTCATTTTTGTACTTGTTGTTTTCAGGCATTAGATGAAGTACGGAAAATCAAACCGAAGAGAACTCTTTTCACTAGTATGATGCACCTAATGGATCACGAGAAGCTCAGCGAATACCTTATGCAGTTGATGGAGACGGAAGGACTCGATGTTCAGTTATACCTACATAACTTCCTTTTTTATCCTGTGCAATTTGTCTCTATCGCATGAACTCATTCATAAAAGATCATTCTGATGTAATGTCCGAGCTCATCATGCGAAAGCAATTAACGGTCAAAGTTCAATCCTTTGTTAACGTTTTGCAATTTCTCTGTAGAGACAAAAAAGAATGAGAGGGGAAGTAGAGACCGTTAAGGGAGAGTTATCAGACTTCGCTGTTAGAGGCGCTCTCGTCGTCAACATTGGAGATCTTTTGCAGGTAATGCTCCGCGCCTGAAATTACACTCGTTGTGGATGAATGTATGATCATTCGTTGTTTGGTGGTTCGTTTTGTGACTTGGTTTTCACCTCAAACTGCAGATAATGTCGAACGACGAGTACAAGAGCGTGGAGCACAGGGTGCTGGCGAATCCATCCATGGAGCCACGGGTCTCGGTGGCTGTGTTCTTCAATTCGGATGAGCAGGAGACAGTTCTGGGACCGATCCCGGAGCTGATCTCGCCTGAGAAAGGTTCTTCACCAAAGAGTTGGATATCAGAACCCTCACCAATTTCTACAAGCTGTAAGAAAAAGAAAAAAACTGGTGCATCTGATCGCTTGTACTTGGCTAGAAAAAGATGGTGTGCGCTCGTACAAAGTAGTGTCTCATCTTACATTAGTGGGACAAACAGTGCATACTAAATGGTTAGCATGGTTATAACCAAACCAAATAAGGCTAAATTCCATTAATTATGGAATACAATATGATAACCAAACCGTCCAAACTAATACAACAACCAAATTAACCAAACTAAAGCTTAATCGGTTTGGTTAATTGGTTAACCAGATTAACTAATATAAAATCACATTATCATTGATGATGAAAATTTTTCGGTTAATGCAACAATTTGCAATTTATATAATGAATAAAATCCAAAAGACCTTTAATAATTTTATAGATAGATAGATAGATTGGACAGCGCTGGTTTAGAGTTGTAGTTGCAAATGTGGGCCAGTAATGAGTCCGATTTGAATGGTTGACATGGTATGTGTTGGGGGTGTTACTAAATACTCCACGCGCGGATAAATAAGGGCGCGCTCAATCGGTAACGTGCTCCGGACGAACGTCACTACGAAGTATTTAAAGGCATGAAACTCCCCATTGAAGGGGACTCCTCCGGTCTCCTCACTTTCCACTTTCTACTATCTCTCTACACTTTATCTCTCTATCTATTCTCTCAACTCTCTCCACAAACATACACTAACTTGATCGTCGGAGTTTAATCCGGGGGGCAACCCCGGCACTTTTCACAGGTTTCTTCCCTCCCGACGAGATCAGACGAACGGATCATGAGTCAACCCCACACCAACAAATATCATTGTTCATACCGGAGCCAGATGGTACAAACAATTGGCGCCCACCGTGGGGCTTGACTTGTGCTTTCGTTCGTTTGACTTCTCAAGGAGGAGAAATCTATAGAAGAAGATAGACACCTGCACGAAAAAAAAAAAGAAGAAGGATCATGGAGGACGATCAGAAGAAAGAAGGGAGATCTAGAGAAGCTCAAAACAAAAGAGGAGATTCAATATGAACGACAACCCACAAGGAGGCCCTCCACGTTCAATAGCGACAGGTCATAAAAGAAGTAATCTCCATCACCCGCAAACGACTATAAAAATCTATGGTAGAAAGAAACTCGGCAAACCGACCAGCAGCTGCGAAGAACACAAATTTCCAGATCATGGTTACCGGAGACATATTCGGCGTCGGACCTCTGATGGGAAAAGGAAAGTTCTGTCGCAGTCGCCATCAGGTGTCAGGTCGTCTTCTTGCTACACTCTTTGTCAGATAAAGCGTATGGGCACGAAAATCGAGGTGCACAGATATCGAGGTAGACGGATAGAATTATTGAGCGGACGCACTCCTTGCGCGACATACGCCATGACCGCCCTTATCTCCGCCTATGTCAACGGCGGCTTCGCGCTTCGGAATTTTACTTCTCGCGCCGCGAGAATGCCCAACCCCTTTGCTACTCGGACCCAATGTCGCACCACAATCATGAGACAAGACGACGCGACCAAGCAAATCAAGGCACGACGTTCACATCCGCACACCAAAACCAACTCGCGACTGAAAACCAAGCATGAGCCTGCGTCGCTACAGGGGAAGTGAAAACTTAGATCAACCTTGGATGCACTAGTGCTGAAGGATTCACCGCCCACCACCATCGACTCACGCTGCAGCATCGGCGGTCGCTGAAGATAATTAAGATTCAGCAAAAAAAAAAAAAAACCAGCTCCCAATCTGCCGCCTCACTTGGACCTGCGCAATGCATCCAATCTCGCGCCCCGCGCCGCATTTCAGCCAAGCTTTCGCGTCACTTAGGGCCCGCCACCTCATCTGGCTCAGCCTTCACCCAGCGACCCAGCGAGTGGCCACGGCATCAACTTCGCGGCCCACACATTCAAGTCCGCCCACACATCCAAGTCTGCAAGCGGGCTTCCAAAAGCCCAACACACACCCGGCCCACCAAGTCAAAGCGCTCTACTTGCACGCAGGGCCGACACTACTCGCGCGGGCCAACCCGCGGGTCGGCTCCAAGCGCCCTTCCCCCAGCCCGCGTCGCACCTAGCCCACACACAACTAACGGCCCACTTCACCAAAGCCCGCGCCTGATCACTCGCGGCCCGCGCACAAGCCCACCGTCCGCCTGATCAGCACTCTTCAAAAAAATGTCATCACCGCAAGGACTCGAACTCGCGCCACTCCTCCAACAGGCAAGCATCCTTACCAGCAGGCTACAAGCGAGCCTTGTACTTCAATGGTACAACGCCTGGATTTGAACTACTTCGCCGCGCAACCCTACAGCCCATGCTTGCGGCCCACCGCCGCCTCAACACTCGCGGCCCACTCGCGTCACGCATACCCGCCTCAAAAAATGTCGTCGCCGCGGGGACTCGAACGCGCGCCACTTCTCTGCCAAACAGACATGTCAGCCAACAGACTACGTATGCACCTTTTGATTTGAAGGCGCAGCGTCCGCATTTTAAGTACTCTGGGCGCTCAGGCCCACGACGCATCCGCAACCCACACGAACCCGCGCCACTCCTCCCCTAGACAAGCAACGTCACCAGCAGGCTACATGCACGCTTGGTGATCATTGGGCGCAGTACTCTCATATCAACCAACTCGCGCCATCACTCCGCCTCACAAGCGCTATTACCAATATGCTACATACAAGCCTTCTGCTCCAAGGGCGCAGCGTCTGCATTTTAACAACTCTTCGCGCCGCTTCGCCAATAGAAAGCTAAGTACTCTATCCCTTTATCACTATCAAATATTGAAATATTTTACTCTCATGAGCGTTAATGGCGCTAAGGGAGAGGGCACATTGCCTCGAAGACTCCAAACTGAGGGTTAAAAACCCCGACGAGGAGGGCTCCAAACTGAGGGTTAAAAACCCCGACGAGGAGCCACAAATAAGTCTCAACGAAGCACACAAATAAGACTTCAATAAGAGCATCGAAGACTCCAAACTGAGGGTTAAAAATCCCGACGAGGAGGGCTCCAAACTGAGGGTTAAAAACCCCGACGAGGAGCCACAAATAAGTCTCAACGAAGCACACAAATAAGACTTCAATAAGAGCATTGAAGACTCCAAACTGAGGGTTAAAAACCCCGACGAGGAGGGCTCCAAACTGAGGGTTAAAAACCCCGACGAGGAGCCACAAATAAGTCTCAACGAAGCACACAAATAAGACTTCAATAAGAGCATCGAAGACTCCAAACTGAGGGTTAAAAACCCCGACGAGGAGGGCTCCAAACTGAGGGTTAAAAACCCCGACGAGGAGCCACAAATAAGTCTCAACGAAGCACACAAATAAGACTTCAATAAGAGCATTGAAGACTCCAAACTGAGGGTTAAAAACCCCGACGAGGAGAACTCCAAACTAAGGGCTAAAAAAAAAAAAAACCCCCGACGAGGAGAGCTCCATGAAGAATCTACAATGAGTGAAGGCTACACGCCTTAATGAAATACACCAACTGGGGGGCAAGACGCAAGAAGCTGGCACCGCGTCAGTCAAACGCGCCACCAGCTGGGGGGCAACTGGGGTACATAGGGCTCCACCCAAAATTACCGACGAAGATAAAAAAAAAAAGAAGTAATAAGCTAGCGATGAGTTAAGACTCACCACCAGCTTGGGGGGCAATTGTTGGGGGTGTTACTAAATACTCCACGCGCGGACTAAATAAGGGCGCGCTCAATCGGTAACGTGCTCCGGACGAACGCCACTACGAAGTATTTAAAGGCATGAAATTCCCCACTGAAGGGGACTCCTCCGGTCTCCTCACTTTCCACTTTCTACTATCTCTCTACACTTTATCTCTCTATCTATTCTCTCAACTCTCTCCACAAACATACACTAACTTGATCGTCGGAGCTTAATCCGGGGGGCAACCCCGGCACTTTTCACAGGTTTCTTCCCTCCCGACGAGATCAGACGAACGGATCATGAGTCAACCCCACACCAACAAATATCATTGTTCATACCGGAGCCAGATGGTACAAACAGTATGTTAACTGATTAGGGTTTATATAATTTATTTATTATCAATTTAGACAAATTAACCTTTTTATATTCAATTTGAGATTGATTTGGATAGTTAAATTGATAGATAGTGATCATTGCATGTATAATATTATGTATGCATGTATTTAACAACACCGATGTATTGTAGTTTACATAGTTTGGTTTTTGAGATAACTGTTGTAATATTTAAACAAGTTATATGATTTTTTGGATGAAATTTCACACTTACCTTATTTAATATAAAAAGAAACACTCATAAAAAGTCAGGAATATAGTTCAAACAAAAAAAAAAACTCAACCATCTCACATAAAACGTGAGATTTAACTATCGCTCATTTTGATTGATAATTTCTGTCACATCAAGCAACCAATGCTTGCATTGTTTGTGTAGAAATAAATAAAAAAAATGCATTGTGTACAATACAAGTATTGTAACAATAACAATCTCAACCTAACTATCACTGAAACCAAACGACCCCTTAGATACTATTGACTAAATTGTTTGTGATCACCAAAACCAAACGATCCCTTAGATAAAAATGCAAACTGATCCAAAAGAACGCAAGAACTGTAACATCCCATGTTCCCAAACATTTTTCCGACATGATATTATCCAATTTAGGCCCAGATCCTCACGGATTTTGTCTTGCGGTGCATACCAAAGTGACTTCACATAAGGTCAACCATAATTCCTTGCGTGCTCCACAGGGAGCACTTTAACTCTTTCATTTCACCCAAAAACATGTCTTGTTAGTTCATGTCAGTTTCTTAATTATGAATCATGGATCTCTCCTGTGTTTTGTCGATGTGGGATTCGCCTAGGGGTGATAGTCGGTCCACCGAAAATCGATAAAAACATGTCGGTCTTGATTTCGGTTGGGAAGATTTAGGTTATTAGTTAACCGCCGATTATCGATTGCTAACTGATTAAGGATCGGTGCATCGATATATAACCGACGGGCTCTACTCCCCCATCGAGATCGAACTCTTCCTCTACCTTCCCTGTGATTCCTCTGCCTTCCTCATCTTCTTTTCCCCTCCACAACCCCACAGATCAAAATCTTCTGCTCCTTCTCTGTGATTCCTCTTCCTCTTCTTCTTTTCCCCTCTACCACAATCCAAATAATTTTCCCCTCCTCTATGAACCCCGATTTCTAGCATCTCTGTCGTCACCCCGCCGTCTGCCGTCCTTTTTCGCTGATCTCGAGGCTTTCATCTCACGACCTACGCATATCCCAATCTTGACAATCGCCTTCTCGTCGACCCCACTCGCCGACCTCTTGTCGCCCACCCAAATCGCATAACCTCTTCTCGCTGACCTCAACAACCCCAACCGTATCTCCCTACCTTCTTGACGTGGCAAAGGATCTGTGGGTAAGATTCAAGAAGGAAATCGATTTATGGAGGTGAGGATTTTATGGGTTGATGATGAAGCATGGCTCAATCTGGAAGAAGAAAGAAGGAAAGAAATCAATTTCGCAAGAAGAAAAGGAAGGGCTAAGATCAGGTGACTAAAGGGGGGGGGGGGGGGTCCCTTAGTCACATGACTAAGTAAATCTCAGCCATTCCACTTCATTAAAATCCAACGGTTCATATTGATCTCATTTAATAAAGGGTAATGTGGTAATTTTTAATTATTAAATAATTATAATTATACATACCTGGTTTTTTTAGGTGCTGAGTTTTCCTACATCCCGCCGCCGGCTCTGGGCGGTGGTTTTCCGGCAGCCCATGACCATTTTTCAATTGCGTTGCAGAGAGAGAGAGAGAGAGAGAGAGAGAGAGAGAGAGAGAGAGAGAGAGAGAGAGAGAGAGAGAGATCTGGCCGGCGGCGCTGGGCGGTGGGTTTCCGGCAGCCCATGACCATTTTCCAATTGCGTTGCCCAGAGAGAGAGAGAGAGAGAGCGCGCGCTTCCACATGACCATTTTCCCCATTATCATTGCGTTGCCGAGAGAGAGAGAGAGAGAGAGAGAGAGTTTTCCGACGATCGGAGAAAATTTCCCGGCGACAGTGTTGGATTTGTGATGTTTGCTGACCTATTTTGTAATGTTTGTATAGATTTGGTTTGTATTGTTTGTCATTTTTAGTGTCATTTTGTACGGTTAGTATGCTTTGTACTGTTTGTAGGTTTATTTTGTAATGTTTGTACGCTTTGTTATTTTGTAATGTTTGTCGGGTTTTTTTTGTAATGTTTGTAAACTTTGTTATTTTTGTGCACCATGTTTATCATTTTTGTCAACCATGTTTGTAATGTTTTTTATGTCTAAAAAACAACCTGGTTGACTTTTGGATGGAACTCCTCTATATAGGGATGGAGCCTCCAAAGTCAACCCGGGTGTTTTTTCCAGTTCGTATGGATTGTCGGTCTAGTTTGTCATTTTTGTCCACCATGTTCGTAATGTTTGTATGTCTAAAAAACAACCGGGTTGACTTTGAGACGGAGCCCTCTATATATGGATGAAGCCTCCAAAGTCAACCCGAGTGTTTTTCTAGTTTGTATGAATTTTTGGTCTAGTTTGTCAGTTTTGTCCACCATGTTTGTATGTCTAAAAAACACCCGGGTTGACTTTGGGAAGGAGCCCCTCTATATAGGGATGTAGCCTCCAAAGTCAACTTGGTTATTTTTTCTTTTTGTATGGTTTGTATTGTTTGTCAGTCTAGTTTGTATTTTTTGTACAGTTCATATGTTTGTAATGTTTGTAAATCGGTTATAAAAAAAGTAATGTTTGTAAATCTGTTTGTATGTTTTTTCGCTCTAGTTTGTATTGTTCGTATGTTTGTATGGTTTGTACTGATTGTATGTCTGGTTTGTATACTTCGTAATTTTCCATAATATCCAAACTACCCCTGTCATTAATTAAATAGTTCTTCCCACTTTTTAACTATCAGATTGCTATATCCAGATCTAAGGGCTGGGAGGGGCTTAGTCAAGTGACTAAGCACCCCCCTTAGCCACAGGATCCGCACTCGAAAAGGAAGGCCCGATCTGGAAGAAAAGGGAAGGCGAAAAAATCGAAGAAGTCTTACAAAAAAAAATCGAAGAAGGAAGGGGGCCATATTAAAAAAAAGTTTTAAATTTTCTTATTATTAATTATTGAGTGGGCGGGCAACTGATTAACCAAACCAACGTAACCGATTATCGGTTGCGGTTACTCGATAAGGCTATCAGTTGCGGTTGCTTGTTTCAGCCTCATATCGGTGGCGGTTAACCGATCGGTCGGTTCAGTTAAGCCAAAACCGCACCGATTATAAGCCCTCCTAAGATGTTACATACACCCCCTGGGACTCAACATCCTCATTGAGGTTTGCCACACCATCATTCAAGAGGCACTGGAAGACCCTTATACCACTTGTAACATCCTGAACATTTTCCCGACAATATATTGTCCACTTTGTGCATAGACCCTCACAGATTTTGCCTTGGCGTACATACCAAAATGACTTCCTATAAGATCACTCATCTTTGTAGTTCTCCACAGTGAATACGTTTAACTTTGAAATTCTCACAAGAACTCTTCCATTTCACCCCAAAAACGCATCTTGATAGTTAAATTCAAATTTTTACTTATAAATCATGGACCAACCAAAAGGATGGATTTATGATCAGTTAAATTTGCCGATCTGAAATTCACCTAATCGTTTTATAAAAAATGTGGGACCAACTAAAAAAGGAGCAAAACAAAAGCTCGAAATCTATGGCAAGAAAAAAAAGCTCAAAATAAAGAATAAAAACGATGAAAAAGACACAGATTTCCAGTTAAAAAAAAAACAAAAAGATGAAAAAGAAAAAGAGGTAATCAAGGGCTGAAGTTTGGATTTATGGTTAATAAAAAGGATGAAAAAGTAAAAGAGGTAATTAAGGGATGAAGTTTGGATTTATTGTTACTAGCTTAGACCTTACTTTTTGGGCAAGTCACAAATTTAAGATCTATTATATTTCTAACAAATTCTTTTAATCTATTGAAAGTTTTACGTGTAACTTGGAAATTTTACGAGCGCTTGATTTAAAGTAGACTAATTTCCTAACCAAGTGCGCAATATTTATTAGCTTTTTTAGTTTTGTAGTCTGTGATATTATAAACGTATTGCCAAGTAAAGACTACCGAATCTGTATTGTATTATTGACCAACTTTATAAAACATCCAAGGTACAACTTTATAAAACAAGTACAACGTGAAGTTGTACTATAATGTTAAACGTATAACTTCAAGTTGTATAATAAATGCAAAAAACTAAGGATAAACACTAATTATTAGCCAAAACCTTTCTAACATTTTTATTATTATCCAAACCTATTGAATTACTAATAATTAGCCAAATCTTTTGTGATGCATCAAAATATTAATCATCTACGTTATCGTTAATAATATTGTAACTCTTTTCTTAGTTAAAATACTAAAGTTTTGGAATGTTGGCCTCCATGTGGCTAGCTAAAAGTTAAAATTTGGCTAATTAATAGTATTTCAATAAGCTTCACTACTAAAAAATAATGTGGAAAAGTTTTGACTAATAATTAGTGTTTAGTCAAAAATTAAAACACTAATATTTTAAAGAATTATAAAATATTCTGGTATGTTAGACAACGTTTGAAGGCTTCTTTGTTATCTTTTCCATAATAGAAAGACTTGTGTGACCACTAAATACTAATCCTATAAAATTAGATAGATAGGATAGAAGATTTAATATATTATCACTGGCCCAACTGAAGTAATGAGTTGTGTTCTGTTAATCATTTATATGAGCTAATGTTTTAAGATGCATTGAGGACGAAGTTGAAATGATATGTGGGCCGTGGGCCCGTAATTGTATTGGACTATGACCGAGTTAGACGCACCAGTTAAATAATTGTTTAGTCCAGCTGGCACAACCGACTCAAGCTGACTGTTGTTAAATAATCGTTTAGTCCACACAACCGACTCAAGCCCCATGCCAACTTTCTCTTTAAATATGAAGAGAGGAAGCAAAGATTGAGACCGCGCGTTCTTTCTTCTCAAGTCTCAACGACAACGGCTCTCAGGGATGTGGTAACTGTTGCGAGGGCTGGTTTGATGGCGATAGAGAAGTGGTTTCTCTCAGTAAGCGTGCTTCTGCCCATGAGGTGGGTTTCACCATGGCTGAAGTGGGTTAGGGTTTTTGGTACAGGCTCGGTTTAACATCTTCTGGAGGCGCTATCTTGTCCGATGTAGTCTATCTGGTATTGTTGCTACCCCTTCTTTTCTACCCATGAGGGAATTGGGTGAATTGTGTATGCCTTTGTTTCAATTACCGCTTTGATAGAAAATGATCATTATCGCGATGCTATTGCTTATTCTATCATGTTGGCCTTGTGTGTTAGACAGTTACCGTTTCCTTACTCAATCCTGCCTGTCTGTACTAATCAAATCATGGGACGTCGTTCAATTTGCAAATAATTGTTGCCATGAATAGGGTGAAAGTGGTTCTGAGGATGATTTTGTCCAGATACTTGCATAAGTTGCATTACATAATGACCATTGCGTGTTGGCTAGACCAGTGTTTTCTGCTAACTTCCATGACATCCCTATTTTTTGGCTAGACCTTCCATATTTTGGTTCTTGACGTGAGATGTTCCTAATTTGTCACTACTTTCCGGTTGCCCCCTATTTTTGACCATGATTCATCAAGGTGCTACTGCTTTCTACAAATTGAAACCCCTATTGAGTGTCACGTAAAGAAACTGAGATAATTGTTGCCTTGGTTATTCAGTCTTGGTCGTTTTGGCTCAGAATATGCTTGTTGGAAGCAAGATCCTGATCACTAGCTTGTGACCGCTTCTGCCTCACTATTGACATGATTATTTACTCATTCTAGTTTCCCTGTTGCTCCCCTTGAAATCCATTGTTAACTGAAAGTCCATTGTGGTGTCCTAGAAGGGAATTTAAGAATGAGTACTATGTCATAGATATACCCTGAAAAACGTTGCCCCCTGTCTGTTCCGTGCCTATATGAAAGTTGGTCTCGGTTTGCCTTGCAATAAGATGATTAGTTACTCAAATCTCGTTGCCCTTCTGCTCCACCTGGATTCATCAGCTGTGAAAGCATTTCATATTCAGAAAGTAATTTATGGAGTCCTAGGAGGGAACTTGAGAATGAGTATCATCATATATTGATCCGCAAAGTACCTGAAAAAACGTCGCCCCTGTCGGTTCAGTTCCTATATGAAAGTTGGATCCCAGTTTGCCTTGTAATAAGATGATTAGTTACTCAAATCTCGTTGCCCTTCTGCTCCATCTGGATTCATCAGCTATGAAAGCGTTTCATATTCAGAAAGTAATTTATGGAGTCCTAGGAGGGAACTTGAGAATGAGTATCATCATATATTGATCCTCAAACTGCCTTGTCCAATGTCGGTTCAATTCTTATATGAAAGTTGGGTCTAGTTTGCCTTATATGATTTAAATATTAGTTGCTTATTCCAGCTGCCCTTATGCTCCATGTCAGTTGTGATCATGTCTCGTAAGAAAAATGTACTTTGTGGAGTCCTAGAATGGAACTTTATAATGAGTACTACATCATGGCGAAAAATACCTTGCCTGTGTCGGTAAATGCTAATCTGAAAGGTGGCCAAGTTTGCGATAGATTAAGATGTTTAGTTGCTCATTCCAGCTGTCCTTTTGCTCCAGTTTAATTGTGACCTTCCTCTCAACAGAAACTGCTCCTTGGAGTCCTAGAAGGAAACTTGAGAATGAGTACTACATCATAGATGGAATAAGAATATACATTGTCCGTGTCGGTTAAATGTAAAGTTGCCTCTGATTTTTCCATAGAATAAGATGATTAGTTGCTCATTTAAGTTTCCCTTCTGTTCTTAACAGGAATCAGATACTTGTACAATTTTTTTAAGAATATGTGAGAACTATCTTGATGATTTCTTATGCCCTTCATAACTGTTCATATACTTGTATGTGATGTCTTAATGAGTATATATATCTGTCGGCAAATATTAGGTGGGTTTGGCACTTGTGAATGATGGGGAGATTGTGTTAGGTGTTATGGGCTGCCCAAACTGTGACGATTCTGAATCCTTCCAATCCATTACAGGGGTCAGCAATGCATTAAGTAAAGTAGGGAATGTAATGGTTTCACATATTGGCTGTGGGACCTGAAGAAGGACGTTTCAAGATGGCCTCCATAGTGTATCAGCTGAACCATCTGAGCATGATTAGGGTAGATACAACTGATTTTGTTGCTGATGGCAATGGAAGGAGTTTGGTTCTCTTGATGGCTTGCTATGGCAGGTAACAGTTTCCTAAATTAAAATGAGAGAGATACCACTGTTCTGTTAAATGTAAAGTTGCCTCTGATTTTTCCTTATTAATGATTAGTTGCTCATTCCAGTTGCCCTTCTGCTCCACTTCAATTGCGACCGTCTTCCCTGAACAAAAACTTCTAAGTAAATGTGAGAATGAGTACTACATCATAGATGGAACAAAAATATACATTGTCCAGGTCGGTTAAATGTAACGTCGCCTCTGATTTCCCCCTTGAATAAGATTAGTTGCTCATTCTAGATGACCTTCTGCTCCACTTCAATTGTGACCGTCTCTGTGAACAGAAATTTCTCCATGGAGTCCTAGAAGGGAACTTGAGAATGAGTAACATCATAGATGGAACCAGAATATACCTTTCATGTAGGTTAAATGTAAAGTTGCCTCTGATTTTTCATTGGAATACAGTTATTAGTTGCTCATCCAATTGCCCTTATGCTTCACTTCAATTGTGACCTGTCTTTTGCATACAGAAATGGCTCCATGGAGTCCTAGAAGGGAACTTGAGAAATGAGTATATTACATCATAGATGGAACCAGAATATACTTTGTCAGTATTGGTTAAATGTTTAGTTGCCTCTAATTATTCTTTGGAATAAAATGATTAGTTGCTCATTCCAGTTGCCGTTCTGCTTCACTTCAGCTCTGAACGTCTTTTTGTAAACATAAAGCTCTCTTTGTAATCTTAGAAGGGAACTCTAGATGATCGACCCAGAAGGTATTTCATCCATTCGGCTTAGTGTTTGCCTATTAATAAAATGCCCGATTACTCATTCTTGTTGCATTTTGTTACACTTATGATTTGTCCCTTGTTACGTGGCTTTCCGAAAACTGAAAATTATTCTTAAATGGTGTGCAAAAAGGCAACTTGAGACCGAACAGAGATGGACCCAAAAAGTATCTGTCCATGTTAGTTAATGCTGATCTGAAAGTTGGTTCTGGTTTTCCCCAGATAATTCAGGTGATAATAACTGCAGTATCGGTCTCTTTATAGAAAATATATACATTGATAGAAGACATAGTCCCATTTCTTTTCACATGGATGTCCTGTAGGGGGGAATGTGAGAATGAGTACTACTTACTGTATTGGTATTTCATACCAAAATAAACCAACTCCGAAAATTTTGTTCAGATCGATATCGTTCTCAGTTGCCTTAGGTAATGATTACTGCTTCATGATTTAGTTCAATTTGGTTTTGCTAATCCTTCATCCATTCCCTATGTCTTCATTGTATAAACTAAGGAGTGGAATAGAAGTGAAATGGAACCGGTTTTTCTGCATTTGCTCATTTCAATTCGGTGTTGCTTATAAGTTACAACTTAGTTCTATAAGCATGTCCAGTCGGTGAGGGGGGGACGAGTGAACAAGAAGAATGAAGGAAGCAAGATAATGGTGCTAGATAGTATAGGATCCAGGGTATGCCTAGATGGTCAAGTTGGTATCCAGGTTTTAGTTTCAGGTATGACTTTTCTACTCCTTAATCTCTCATTTACTCACACCCCTCACTCTGCATTTTGTGTTCCATAATTATATTCGGTTGATCCCTAAAAGAATTTTTATTTTGTTTAAGTCTACCTACCATTGTTGGGGCGTTCCGTAATTGTCGTGGGTCCCTCACTTTCATTACATCAATGTGGATTGCCTCGTGAAATAGTAATCGAGCTTTGTTCACTTATCAATGTTATTTAATCACCACTTCAGTAGAAAGTGGCATCAAACCATGGTAGCGGTGATTCATAAATTGCATTTGAAGCATCCTTTGTGATTCTGAACCCTTGTTCTTGGTAAATCTTAGAGGTGTCCATAACTGTGTTTGTTAGCATAACTGAAAATTCTTTCTAATCGACGGTAGTGACGTACAACTATACAAGTGTAGTGATTGGTAGGTAGCTCAACCTCCTACTGATTCTCACTCGTGTGTAATCTATAGATTTCAGTTGTGTGGAATCGGCGGTGACGGGTGGTGCTTTTCGGTCGCCCCCCTATATTTTACTGTGATTCATGAAGGTTCTACTGCTTTCTGCAAATTGAAGCTCCCATTGAGTGTCCCATAAAGAAAATGACATTATCGTTGCCTTGGTTATTCAGTCTTTGTCGACTCACTGTATACTTGTTGAAAACAAGATCCTGATCACTAACTTATGACTACTTCTGCCTCACTATCGACATGATCATTTACTAATTCTAGTTGCCCTGCTGCTCCCATGAAATCCATTATTAACTGAAAGTTCATTGTGGAGTCCTAGAAGGGAATTTAATAATGAGTACTATATCATCTCTATACCCTGGAAAAACATTGTCCATCTCTGTTTAGTGCCTACATGAAAGTTGGGTCCCGGTTTCCCTTGCAATAAGATGGTTAGTTACTCAATCTTGTTGCCCTGCTACTCCACCTAGACTTACCAGCTGTGAAAGCGTTTCATATTCAGAAAGTAATCTGTGGAGTCCTATGAGGGAACTTGAGAATGAGTATCATCATAGATAGAATTGAAAAATGCCTTGTCCGTTGTCAGTTCAATGCTTATAATAAGATGATTAGTTACTAATCTAGTTGCCTCTCTGCTCCACCTTGTATTCATCAATTGTGACTGTGTTTCGAAAACAGAAAGTACTTTATGGAGTTCTAGAGGGGGAACTTGAGAATGAGCATCATCATAGATTGATCCGAAATTTACCTTGTCTAATGTCGGTCCAATGCTTATACAAAAGTTTGGTCTAGTTTTGCCTTATATGATTAAAATATTGGTTACTCATTTCAGCTACCCTTCTGCTCCATCTTAGTTGTGATCATGTCTCGTTAGCAAAAGGTACTTTGTGGAGTCCTATAATGGGACTTTATAGCGAGTACTCCATCATAGCGAAAAATACATTGTCTGTGTCGGTAACTACTTCCTCGTGCAGTTGATGCTGAAAATTCAGCTCCCTGGTGCTTTCCCTTCTATCCTATCTAAATCTCAATGTAGTTTGTCTATTAATATAGATGAGCAACTAAACTGACTTGGAGTTTAATCATAGTGTTTTCTGCATACTTTGTTTCTTCAAGACATTATAATAAGACACTTCGCATTTTCCAAAGCTTGATCTGGATGAAAAAAGGTATGGTGCTTCTCCTTACCCATCAGCCTAAATGGTCTATTGTTTCATATTCTTTATGTATTCTTGGTTATGTATTCTTGTCTTGATATGCTGATCTCCAAAATTAAACATGGGTTGGCTGGTTCCTTAAGCTATCAATTGTGTATGTATTTTTTCTTTGAGAAAGCAAATGTTGGTCTGATAGTCAAGTCCCATTCCCCCTCTGTTCGATCCTGTTACGTGGAAGCCCTAAATCATCTTATGGTGAACTTTTCAATAACTAATAATGATCAAGTCAATGCTTGATAATGATTCTGTTTGAGAATGAGAACTAATGTTCTAAAGTGGAATTTTGGAGCCGCGAGGCGCTCGTCTAGTGGTTCCATTTACTCCACTGCTCCATTTCATATTCTTAAATTGTGAAGGGTCTTGTTGAATGGTAATGGAGTACTAAGGGAGAACTTTTGAATAATTAAATGATAGAGAAAATACAATAGAACACTCTTAGAAATGGTATCCTTCAGGGGCTCGTTTCGTGGCTAGTTGCTCCTCTGCTCCACTTCATATTCTTAAATCTGCAAGGGTCTTATTGAATGGTCCCAGTGGAGTCCTAGGGGAGAACATTGGAATGATTTTATGATTGAAAAAAAAATACTCCATAACACTCTTGTTTGGGACAAAATGAATACACTCATGACAGTTGTACGCTATTCCGTCTCACAATTCGGCTGGTTGTTTGCTTATTACAGTTGCTCTTTTGCTTCAATGAAGGGTATGTCTCAAATGGAGACTAGAGGGGAAACTTAGATTGATATTGAAAGAGAAAAGAATACATTGAGACACAGGTTGTTTGTGAAAGTTAAATGATTAGAAGTAGTGTCCCTTGTTCCAATTGCCCTTCCGATCCATTTTAAATTTACTAATTAGGGGAGGATTTTTATAACCGAGGCCTTAAGAGGGTTCAAGAAATGAACTTTGTTATGAGCAAACAATGTGAGAGTACCTTTGATGGATAAATCGAGTTGTTTCTATGAAAGTCTGTGACCCCGTCGTGCCTTGGTATAAGATATATCATCTACTGCTCCAGTTGCTGTATGAGTCGCGTAAGGTCAATCCATTATGGTTGTATTATGTTACTGAAAGGCTCAAGTTGGATTCATAAGAGGGAGCATGGTTAGTTCGCATTGCCTTGCTTTCCATTTGTGACTTTCTTTGATACCTGCCAATGGGATCCTAGTTGGTCTCTGTAATGTGTATGCCACTGGATCCTAGAAAAAACAGAACTATTTCACCACATTTCCCTTGGCTATTTAAGTATCATGCCATGAGGTGGTGGGAGGAGGGATGCCCTTTTGGCCTGCATATTGTAAGGTACAAGTTAGCTTAAGCAGAATTGTTATTATCCTTGTGCGTACGTCCCACCTTCCAGTTATCCCGGTTCAGGTTATTATCAATAGGTTATTAGAAGGCAATCATGGATTCCTGGATTTCCCTCCAGGCTCGTCTTTCTAAACATATCAGTTTGCCACTGCTCCTAGGTTGCCTTCGATGCTTGTTCTTGTTTGGAAATGCAGCTTTTTACTTGATGCCTCGCTTGACGGTTGACTTAGTATGATAAAGGTCTCCTCACATGGGTGATTGGTTAGGTGAATATTGAATCAAGGTTTGTGGATGGATAACAGAATGAGTGTCTTTGTCTCGCAAAATGTTTTGGTGCCAATTATGGGGTAGAATGTCAACTATTTCCGCATTCTTTGTTTAAGATAACTTTTTCAGACTTTGTCTCGCAAAATGCTTTGTCTTGCAGTCGATGCTAAAAATTCGGCTTTACGGTGCTTTCCCTTGGTTTGCTATTTATTGTTGTTGCCTACAAGTCAGATTTTTGTTTTATATGAGAATTTATCTCTCCATGCAGACAAGTTTTCATTTTAAAATAACTGTCTCTTGAACAACCATGAGTTTAGCTATGATTCAGGTGGCCTATTATTGAAAATAGCTAACTTTGAGGTCTTGTGGCACAAGCTTTTGCCCCCTTTTTAATGATCATTCTGATTAGGACCATAAAGTAAGCCCTACCCAGTTGCTTAAGACATGGTGAAGAGACCTGCAATATACTATGACAGTGGTGGTGTGGGAACAGAATGATGAATGTCATTGTCTCAGTTCTGTTGTTTCACTTGTTATGTCATCATTGTTGCTGATTCTGCTACGGGAGTTACAATGTCATCATTGGGTTGGTGATTTTCATCAGTTATTTGGTACTGCATTTTTACAATGATAGGTATTCTCAGCTGGGAAGTATGTCAAATTCACGAGAATCTGAACAATAGAATAAAAATAATTACATCTGGGGTTTTATTATGTTTTGAATAGTTCCTTCTTGAATGAATGCCATTTTAGCATGGATCGATTTGGCCTTTTTGGCTTCTATCATGTTGCATGCACAGCGGGATAATGTTTGTAATATAAATGGAGAGTTGTCTTGCTTTTATGCATTGTCATAGCGTGCCAAACTTGTGCAAAAATGTGATGGATCATCGGGTATCTTGGGACTGGTATTTCTATCTCTGCTTTGACAATTCAGAACTATTGTGAGTACTTCGACTTAACTGCTACGTACCCTTTAGTGTGTAAGGGATGGGTTTATCCTACTCTTAGCAGACATGACATAGGTGCTCTTACATGAGCTCTAAATATGGTGCAGAACAGTGATGGGATAATAAGCTTAAGGTTTTATATTATTTAAAGATGGTGCAGAACAGTCTCGTGTTGGTTTCTATTACAAGATTTTACAGATGTGTTGACGATTGAGAGCCTTTCTCTTAAGGAGACTTGGCGGTGATCAATCTCGAGTGGGAGCTTCTCTTGCTGTGTCATCCCTTGCTTGGTAAACTACGGACATTAAAATTCCAGCTGCATTGTTTTCCTACCTGTGGAAAGTGGAAACAACGCTTTTTCCTCAGTTTGTGTTTCGTTGGTTGCTTCAAGAACATTCTGCGACGCGCATGACTTATATTTCTTCGGGGTACCCTACCTAAGACATATTTTCTTGCTCTTTCTACTGGACTTTTCAGTTTCTCCTGGTTCCTTGAGTGCACTTCAATGGGCTTTTATGTGTATGCTTATATCTATATGCCTATATGCTTTCTTTTGTAAAGAGGAGGAGTAACCATGTCTTTCTTATCCATTCTCGTCAGGTGAAAACATTGTCATTAATCTTATAAGTATGGTGAATGATGGATCCTTACTCGCAAGTTCTTGATAATAAAAATTCCGCTCGTTTCCCATGGCCTATATCGTAAGATTCTTCAAATTGGTTTACTCACAGGTGTCGGGTTTATATTTTCCCAGGTCTAACAGTCTTTCCTCCCGGCTCACGAGGTAAAGCACCGTTGGGAGCTCGAAGCTGCCATAGGGATTGTGGAGCACGCCTGTCGCATCTGTTTGAGATAAATTTCGATTCCGGTTCTGCTTCTCTTTTAGCATCTGATTGGTTTGTGTAATCCAAGGAGGAATTTTTCTTTCTTTGAAATTTCCTCGATTGCATTGAACAGGTGCAGAGTTCCATGCGCTCTAGTGAAGCAGTGTCTGTCAAGAAGAGCGACTGTACTCCACTCACCATCGCAGACTTCGGTGTTCAAGCTTTCGTCATTTTCTGTAAGTCTACTATTCTTGACAACGGAAGTGAATTGGGTTGAACTTGTTCTCCAGACTTTTTGACGATTCAGAATTCTTGTGTAATTTCGTTCAGAGTTCTTGTGTCTTTTGATCTTAGGATCCTAAAGTATTAGATACGGTTCTTCACATTGTTCTTTATTTGACAGAGCTACATCAAGCTTTCCCTGATATTCCCTTAGTTGCTGAAGAGGACTCTGGGTTCTTGAGGGCAAATAACCTGGTTGATTCTGTGGTCGGTGTGGTTGCTAGTAAATCAAGTTCAGAGAAGCCATTAAATAGAACGCAAGTCCTGAAGGCAATTGACAGAGGGGGGAAGAATGCCATTGTTTATGAGAATAAGCCAGCCACTTACTGGGTAAAGTCTATGAGCCAGTGACAGGAAGTAGCTGTTTTCTGTCAAAATTGACAACTTTTCCTTGATCGTGAATTTGATTCGTAGAACTGGTTGCAGATCCTCGATCCAATTGATGGTACCAAGGGTTTTCTCAAAGGAAGTGGTGCCTTATATCTGGTATGTTCTTAACAGGAATCAATTACTTATTTACTGTTTTAAGATTGTGTGAGAACTAGCTTGATGATTGCCCATGCCCTTCATAACTATTGTGCATATACTTGTATGCTTATGTTCCTCTGGCCTAGTGTTTTCTTAATGATATATATATATATCTGCCGATAAATATTAGGTGGGTTTGGCACTTGTGGTTGAAGGGCAGAATTTTTTAGGTGTTATGGGCTGCCCAAACTGGGACGATTTTGAATCCGTTCAATCCATTACAGGGGCCAACAATGCATTAAGTAGGGCAGGGATTGTAATGAATGCTCATATTGGTTGTGGGACCTGGAGAAGGAGGTTTCAAGATGACCACCAGAGTGGATCAGCTGAACCATCCGACCATGATTGGAGTAGATGTTTTGTTGACTGAAGTCTGTTAGCATCACAAGCACGATTTTGCATTACAGATAGTGCAACTTGGCAATCATTGCCTTTGTCGCCTTTTTTTAGTACAACAACTGATGCTGCTGACGATAGCAGTAGAAGGAGTGTGGTTCTCTTGAAGGCTTGCTGTGGCAGGTAATGGTTTCCTGCTATAAAATGAGAAAGATACCACTGTTCTGCTATCTGCAGTCTTAACAAATTCAACATTGTTTTCCTCGGATCTCCAGTTTATCCAGGTATATTATGGTGGCTTTAGGAATTGCATCAGTCTTCATTCTGCTAGTGAAACCACTGATATCAACCAAGGTAGTATTCTTTTCATTCGAAAAAAATGAAAACTGAAAGCCTACCAGTCCTTGGACTCCTTTCTCACAATGTAGGTGTGGGATCATGCAGTTGGGTTGATATGCGTTCACGAAGCTGGGGGGGAAGGTATTTGTAATTGTCACCACCACTATCTCTCGGTCAAACTACATGCATAGTCACCAAAGTTTAGGTCTTTATTTTTTTCCCTCCTGTTTAAGGCGGCTATCCATTCTTGTGTTCTTTGATTTGGTTTTTGTCCTTCTGCAGGTGACTCATTGGGCAGGGGCTGACCTTAACCTTGAGAGGATGGTGTGGAGCGAAGGATCTTATATCCTTAAGTTGGAGTTCTTGCGACCAGTGACAAGATCCACTACCAGATCGTGGAGATGGTTTCTATAAGTTCATCCACTGGATGAGCCCTGGTCGTTTTGGTAAGTCTGTTGTCCATAACACAAACTGTAATTGTCTCATTCATAATCACTGGTTTAGTTGAATTTGGTTTTGTTAATCCTTCATCGACCCCTCTGTCTTCATTGTGTAGACTGAGGACTGGAGTAGAAGTTAAAAGGAACTGTTTTTCTGCATATTCTCATTTTGATTCGATGATGCTTATAAGTTACAACTTAGTTCTACAAACATGTCGAGTTGATGAGGGGGAATGAGTGAATAAGAATAATAAAGGAAGCAAGATAATGGTGCTAGATAGCATAGGATCCAGGGTATGCCTAGATGGTCAAGCTGGTACCCAGGTTTAGGTTTCAGGTATGACTCTTATATTCCATAATCTCTCCTTAACTCACACCCCTCAGTCTGCATTTTATGTTCGATACTTTTATTTGGATTGATCGTTAAAGAATTTTATTTTGTTTAAGTCTACCTACAAATGTCGGTTCACCTATCAATTTTATTTAATCATCAGTTTAGTAGAAAGTGGCATCAAAGCTTGGTAGCGCTGGTTTATAAATTGCATTAGAAGCATCCTTTCTGATTCTGAATCCTTGTTCTTGGTAAGTCTTAGAGGTGGCCATAGCTGTGTTTTTTAGCATAACTGAAATTCTTTCTAATAAACGTAGTGACGTACAGCTGTACAAGCAAAGTGTCGTGATTGGTAGGTAGCTCAACCTCCTACTGATTCTACACTCCTGTGTAATCTGTAGATTTCGACTGTGTGGAATCGCCGGCTAGGGGGGTGCTTTTCGGTCACCCCCCCCCCCCCCCCCCCCCCCCCCCCCCCCCCCTATTTTTTACTGTAATTCATGAAGGTGCTACTGCTTTCAGCAAATTAAAACCCCTATTGAGTGTCCCGTAAAGAAAATGAGATAATTGTTGCCTTGGTTACTCAGTCTTGGTCCTTTTGACTCATCATTTGCTTGTTGGAAGCAAGGTCCTGATCACTAACTTATGACCGCTTCCGCCTCACTATTGACATGATCATTTACTCATTCTAGTTGTCCTGCTGCTCCCCTTGAAATCCATTATTAACTGAAAGTTTATTGTGGAGTCCTAGAAGGGAATTTGAGAATGAGTACTATATCATAGATATACCCTGAAAAAACATCGTCCGTGTCTGTTCAGTAATTACTAATTAGTACCTATATGAAAGTTGGGTCCCGGTTTGCCTTGCAATAAGATGGTTAGTTACTCAATCTTGTTGCCCTGCTGCTCCATCTGGATTCATCAGCTATGAAAGTGTTTCATATTCAGAAAGTAATCTATGGAGTCCTAGGAGGGAACTTGAGAATGAGTATTGTCATAGATAGAACTGAAAAATACCTTGTCCGTTGTCGGTTCAATGCTTATTATAAGATGATTAGTTACAAATCTGGTTGCCCTTCTGCTCCACCTTGTATTCATCAATTGTGAGTGTTTCGAAAACAAAAAGTACTTGATGGAGTAGAGCGGAACTTGAGAATGAGTATCATTATAGATTGATCCGAAAAGTATCTTGTCCAATGTCGGTTCAATGCTTATACAAAAGGTTGGTCTAGTTTTGCCTTATATGATTAAAATATTGGTTACTCATTCCAGCTGCCCTTCTGCTCCATCTCAGTTGTGATCATGTCTTGTTAGCAAAAGGTACTTTGTGGAGTCATAGAATATAACTTTATAACGAGTACTCCATCATAGCGAAAAATACCTTGTTTGTGTCGGTAATTGCTTCCTCGTGCAGTTGATGCTGAAAATTCAGCTCCCTGGTGCTTTCCCTTGGTTTGCTATTTCTTGTTGTTGCATACAAGTTGGATTTTCATTTAGATTACTGTCTTTAGAACAAGCATGAACTTCAATTATGATTCAGGTAGCCTAGTATTGGAAATAGCTTAGAAGTTTGAGATTTCTTGTGGCAAAAGCTTTTGCCCTCTTTTTAGTATTAGGAACATAAAGTAATCCCTACCTAGTTGGTTAAAACATGGGGAAGGGACCTGCAATACACTATGACAGTAGTGGTGTGGGGAGGCTGATGGTTTACTACTCTTCTACTACTATCCTATAGGATAGCTGACTTGCCCACTGAAATTAATATGTTAACGTGGATCTCTGGCTACTCTGCATGTTGGATTGTCATTGTATTGGTCTTGGTTTTGTTGTTTGCATTGGAAATCTTGGAAGGGAGCCTGATTCTGGTATGATTTTGTTCTGAAAACTAATTATAAGCTTGATGTGATGATGTGACCTAAGGAGAGAGGATGGTGAAGCAAACAATGTATTTTCTGTTGCCTCCTATCACTCATGTTCTTTCACTGTTGTTGCTGATTCTGCAATTGGAGGTACAAGGAAATGGTAGGTTACTAGCTTGGCTGCTACACCTCTTCAGTTTTGGGTGGTGATGTTTCATGAGTTACTTGGTACAATATTTTTATGATGATGGGTATTTATTTTCAGCTGGTAAGTTTGTCAAATTCATGACAATCTCAACAATTGATGGGGGTTTGTTATAATCTGAATGCATTTCAGCTTAAGGAACAGCTGAATAATTCCATCTTGAATGAACGCCATTTTAGGGCGGAAGATTTGTCCTTTTTGGCTTCTATTCTGTGATGGTATTGCTTTGTCACCGGTATTATTATTTTTTGCTTCGACACTTCAGAAACTACTGTAAGCTAATTCGGTTTGGTTGCCACGTACCCTTGTGGATTGAACATACAACAACCTAATGTGTTAAGGATGGATCTGCCCTACTCTTACCACCCAGACATGTATGAGTTACGTACTCATACATGGGATCTTCAGATGGTTCAGAAAGGGCTACTGAGTTTTAAGTTTTCATCTCATCTGCTGCTCTATTAAATGTTACCCTTTTATTATTGCGTTACATCTATCAGCGAGTTTTGGGACCCAAGTATTTCAAGAATGCAGTCTGGTCCCATCAAATGCGGTATAAATTATATCAAATCTCATCTTCTATCAAAATAACATGTCGTACTTAAATCCAACATATCGTGAAAATTCACTCACTTATATAACATCAATATTCAAATGTTCAATTTAAAATTTCAAGGATTGAATTAGGCGAAAAGAAAAATCGAAATATATGCGCATTCCGCAAACCAAAGAAAAAAATGACACAATTTGAACTCCAACCCGGTACCTTGTAGCGGTCGACCCGGTGGGTGTGTGCAACCCGTTTTTCTCACCGAATTAGGATCAAATTGGGTCGACCCACGAGTTGACAACTTTGAGAACAAACGAACGATAAAGCCACACCGTCCAATCCAATCGGCCACACCAGCGGCCGGTGCCAGCTCAGCCGCCTCCACCGTCCGTACTCAATCTTCAAACCATTTCCCGCCATGAATCTCGTTAACCACACCTCCGTTTCTCTTCGCTTCTCCACTGGATTACTCCAACGCCCGCGCTCTCTCCCTCCCAGCCGACGAGTCTTACTTGCAAGGTCTTGACTCGAATAGCTCCGCTCGTTTTCTTTCGACGTAAGGTTCTTCAAGTTGCTGTATTAATAGATGTCGAGTTTATATTTCCCAGGTCGAGCAGTCTTTCTTTCCCGGCTCACGAGGTCAAGCACCCCCGGGAGCTCGAAGCTGCCATAGGGATTGTGGAGCGCGCTTGTCGCATCTGCGTTGACGTATAATTTCAATTCCGGTTCAGCCCTTCGCTTATCATCTGCTTGGTTTGGTAATCCAAGGAGGAATTTTCGATTTTTCCCTGCTATTCCCTTAGTTGCTGAAGAGGATTCCGGGTTCTTGAGAGAAAATAACCTCGTGGACTGGATTCTGTCGTCGATGTGGTTGCTGATAAATCAAATTCAGACAAGCCATTGACTCGAGCTCAAGTCCTGGAGGCAATTGAATTGACAGAGGGGGAAAGAATGGTATTGTTTACGAGAATAGGCCAGCCACTTCTATGCGCCAGTGACAGAAAGTAGCAGTTTGCTGGCAACTATTTCGCATGATCGTAAATTTGATTCGTACAACTTGTTGCAGATCCTCGATCCAATTGATGGTACCAATTAAGGGTTTTCTCAAAGGGAGTGGTGCCTTGTATGTGGTATGTTCTTAACAGGAATCAGTTCCTTGTAAAACATTTTAAGATTGTATGAGAACTAGCTTGATGAGCTCATGCCCTTCATAACAGTGCATATACTGGTATGCTTATGTTCCTCTGGCCTTGTGAGTTGTTAATGTCGACAAATATTAGGTGGGTTTGGCACTTGTGGTTCAAGGGGAGATTGTGTCAGGTGTACGTTATGGGCTGCCCAAACTGGGATGATTCTGAATCCTTCCAATCCATTACAGGGGTAAGCAATGCATTAAGTAGGGCAGGGATTGTAATGACTGCTCATATTGGTTGTGGGACCTGGAAGAATCATTGTGAACCCAGCTAGCTCCAAAGGTTGCAATTTTTGGTTACTTCCTTGATCACCTTGCTTGCTTAGACTCCTCTTAAGATTCAAATTATGATAAGGTGGAACGAAAAAAGAAGTTAGAGAGGAGATGGTGGGGAACCGGCAACTGGTCACGATCGACGGCGGGACCCAGCGGCGGCGGCCAAACGACAGGCGTCCAAAAGGAATTTTGCCGGAGAGGGAAGGGGAAAAGGAAACGTCAAAGGCAGGCACATTGCATGGGGCTTGTCTGTTTACTCTCGAATCACTGTCAGCCACGTGGAAAGAGGCGAGACTTACGATTAGTCACTTTCGCCGGCTGCCGGTGAGTGACAGCCCGCCAGCCAATATGATAGTAGTTTAAAAAAAAAAAAAAAAAAAAAAAAAAGAGGAATCTGGTACGGCAGCTCTGCTCTGCTCTGTTCCACCGTCACGTACCCGTCTTCCTGTTTCCTCGTGATGGATTGGATATGTGAATGAGAGAGATGAGGAGCTTCGTCGGCAACTGAATCCGTGCCGCAATGGTACAGTACATTTTGGGTTGGGGGATTTTTATTTACCGTTGACGGTTGTACTTAGGGCGTCGTAAAAATAGCAGTTCATATTTCATAACCGGAAAGATCATCGTCGAACGTGTTTCTTGTTGAAACTATAGACACAAATCTTGTTCAATCTTATCTATGCCACCAATGCATCGTTCAACTGATGATTAAGAAATTACGTTAAGATTTGTTATCAGGATGTTTTAATTTAGCACCTCCAACTTTATACCACGTTAAGATACATCCAATTTTGTTGTGTATCTTTGATGAAATTCATTGTCGTCATATTACTCGTATGGTCATTAATCGGTTCGGTTATAACTATAACTGTTATTGATTGACCATTTTTATAGATCGTTAATTGGGATGGGATTAGGTGCTAATCCTTATAGGGGTTAGCACCGTGATAACTAGCAAAAATCACTACGGATTATTATAAAATCAATACAACATCTAAGCTAAATCACTACTAATTCAAACTAGTAGTAGTTTTTCCCTTGATTAGGACGGTGCTAACTATTGTACAATTAGCACCGTAGCCGTTCCCATCGTTAACTACATCACTTATATTAGTTGGTGAGCCGTAACCGTATACTCAATTATGAGTTATTATGTTGGTCAACCGATTAATCGGTTAGCAAGTGATTCAACAAAGAATACACCAAACTAGCTGATAGGTAACTGAATCAATAGAAGTCCTTATTTTTTCTTCTTCCTTTTTTTTTTGACAAAAGATAATCATATATTGATACTGAAGAAAAGATCATTACATCACATGTCGTAACCAGGCTACAAAATCAAAAGAACGACTCGCTATCGGGTACAAAGAAAGGGCATTTCGAGCCACCAAATGGGCTACCCTGTTGCTACGCCGACCAACGAACCAAACACTAAACCCGTCACTCTCAGCTAGGTAGAGCAACACCTCACGGAAGATAACTCCCAAAGTACTATCACTCCCCTGCGCCTGATTAAGCCTGTCCACTACCACCTTCGCATCTCCCTCAAAACGAACCAGCAAAAGCCCTCCACTCCGACACCAAAGGATGGCTTTCCGAAGAGCCAGCAACTCTACAAGCAACGGATCATCAATCCCTGGGAAGCACACACCTATCGCACCTACCACCACACCATCCAAACCCAACATCACCATCCCTCCTGCCGAGTGGGACCCTCGCTGCACTGCATCATCCCACCTACAAATAAGAGAGGCCTGACGAGCAGAAGACCCCAACGGAGTTACCCCCGCCTGGGCACCCGCCACCACGTCCCGTGGCAGAGAAGTCCACTCCCGTAACTGCTGGTGGTACTGACGCAGGAGGGACAATATCCCAAATTGTTTGCCATCAAAGACAACCCAATTGCGAGACTTCCAGATCCGCCAGAGCACAGCCACAACGGCCATGACCTGGGGAGGGTCCGTGACGATGGCAAGAAGCCGCTTCATAAAGAGGGGGAAAGTGAGACGAGGCAGCCCCTGACCTACATGCTCTAACCCCGCAGCATCCCACAAAGCACGAGCCACACAACAATCAAAGAAAAGATGTTCCATTGTCTCAAGCGCGTTCCAGCAAATCGGGCATCTAGGATGAAGAGCCACCTTCCTGCCAATGAGAGCCTCCGTAGTGGGGAGGAAACGATGCAGAACCTGCCAAAGAAACACTTTTAACTTCGGCGGAATTGTCAAGTTCCACACCCTCTTCCAATTTCCCCGGTCCATCCAGCTCACCGTATGGCGCCAACCCCCTGCTTCCTGGTCTAGGCGAACAGCCAGGTGATAAGCGGATTTCGCAGAGAAAACCTCATCTCCCGTTGCATGCCAGACGAGTCTATTCTCCATAGCCCTTCTAGGCAAGGGAATACTACGAATAGCACGACAAACCTCCGGAGGAAACCACTCCCCAATCTTATTCAGCTCCCACCGACCTCTCGTCGAACAAATAAAATCTGCCACCTTGAGCTCCACACTATCCGAAAGAACCCCGGGGTTAAACATGGGAGGATTAGGGTGAAGCGAGGGGATCCAATTCTCCGTTAAAGAAGCCACCCCTTTACCATCCCCAATCTGCCATCTAAGGCCTGCGCCAACAATTGCCTCCAATACAAGATACTCTGCCAACCCCAAGAGGGGCGCGAACGAGGAGTCGCAGTAAGAAAAGATCCACGAGGAAAATACTTCCCTTTATACACTTGAGCAAGAAGGGATTGGGGATCGGTCAAAATACGCCATCCAATCTTAGCAAGAAGTGCTTGATTGAAGAACTCAAACCGAAGAAAACCCATCCCCCCATTCATGTTTACTTAGACACATCCTTCGCCAAGACATCCACCTAATCCGAGAATGCCCATCCTCCACCCCCCACCAAAACCGTGCAACCAATCTATCCAGAATTCTACAAAGAGAAAGCGGTAGTTTAAAACAAGACATCACGTGCAGCGGAAGAGCAAAAGCAATAGACTTAATCAGAGTTTCTCTGGCTGCCGTAGACAATGATCGCTGAGCCCATCCCTGAAGACGAGCTATTAAGCGCTCCTTCACAAATCAGAACGTAGCCATTTTAGACCGTGCAATAAGGGAAGGTAGGCCCAAATACTTATCATGGACACCCACAGCCCCCACCCCCAAAATTTGCGCCAGAAACTCCTGATCCTGGACCCACTTAGTTCCTCATGCTCATTAAGCACCACAATTAGATTCTCACACTGCTGAAGCGATCCTTGTAAAAATAAATACGAGTCATCAGCACAAAATAGGTGAGAGATCCGAGGTGCTCTAGGTGCCACCCTTACTCCCTCCAATTTCCCTTCCTCGATGGCCCTCCGGAGCAGAGCTGCAAATCCTTGTGTACACAACACAAACAAGAGCGGTGAGAGGGGATCTCCTTGCCTCAACCCGCGACTAGAACGAAAGAAACCAGCAGGAGATCCATTCATAAGAATGGAAAAGGACGCCGAGCTAAGGCACTCTCTAATCCAACCAATCCAGGTCTGGCTGAAACCCAATTTGGCCAGAATCGCAAGAAGAAAGGTCCATTCAATTTGGCTTTTTTTGTCTTCTTCCAATTGTTCATTTGTTTGTAGATTTTCCCTACATATATAAGTGCCTTTTTTTATAATTTATAATTGCTTTAGGTAGGAATGGCAATGGGCATGTCCGGGGCGGGTTTCTTGGTACCCAGACCCGCCCCGTGGCAGGTCGGGTCCAGGTCGGGTAATTGATCACGGATCGCGGGTCGGATCAGGTCGACCCAATGGGTATGCAATTTATATGAAAAACATTAGAAATATTCGTTATTTTTATTATAAGACTAAGAAAACAAACAATATTATGAAAATTGTAGTTAAATTATTGGAGAAATTGAAATTTTTACTAATTTACAACTTTATTATAGCTAAAATATGATGCAATAAAAGGAAAATTCTCAGTAATTTGACTAAGATTACATGTGATTTAGACAAGAATGGGGCGGGTCAGGGCAGATCGGGTCGATGAGACTACCCATGCCCGCCCCGCTCCGCCTACGGGACGGGTAAAACGGGTCAGGTCAAAATTGCCATCCCTAGCTTTAGAATTGATTTGTTATTCCTATTTGGCATTGAGAGAATAAAACAAAGAGAAAAGGAGAGAGCAGAGTAATGAGTGCTAATTGGGATGGAAGAAATTGGGGCACGATATTTGCTTGTCTTTCCTCAAACATAACTAATATGATTTTCTCAGTTCAATTTTAATGCCTACATTTTAATTGTAAAATCAATGATGCTTTTTTCTGTTTCAATTTTAGGGTTCACAAGTGGAGAAAATTGGAGAAAGAAGAAGAGGGCCAGGGGCGGAAAGGAGGTTGTTTGTTCGAAATTCAAGTCTTTTTGAGAGTCCATGACATAGTGATTTTGGAAGAGAAAAACATAGTAATATTAGGATAGTTTTTGGTTAATAGTTAAGCCGTATTCGATTATCGATTACTCTAAAAATCATTTCAATCTATAACAACCGCAACGCCAACTAGTTTTCTAGATTAAAAATGTTGGGAGCAACAGGATGCCGGAGCTATAGGTTGTTTTATAGTAGGTCCATCAACATTAATGTGGATGCATGCGTAGGATTTTCAATTTTGTTTTCCTAGCTTTGTTCACTAAAATTGGCTTCAGCCATCGTTTTCCTTGTTCAATTGTGTTGCTGTTCACCCGTGAAGTTCTCTTGTTGTGTTCTGTCTTACATGTTTAACCAACCTTTTTTCTTACCATCTATTCGTGGGTTTAATCAGTAACTGCTTACCCTCAATTACATTTTTCACATTTCGATCTTTGTCCAAGTACTTGGTATACAATTTCCTTCTTAATTATGATGTAAAAATAGTTGCAACTTACTTTCTACATCCATATATCATCTCGAATATTATATGTTTTCAAGATTTCTACTTGAAATTTAAGTTGTATCTCAAAATTATTGATTATCACTTATAGTCTGTGGTAATTCACATGTCTTAAGTGTTTATTTCGTCAATTCTTTCCTCTCATTCCTAATTCGAGCCATTTTTATATGCATTTATATCTCTTTTCTTTGTTGTTGGACTAGTGTAGCTAGCATCTTCCTTGGAGCTATTTTATGCTAGATTTTATCATATTTTAGTGATATATATGAGATTATGTGAAGTAAGGACAATCATTAATAACCCTTTTACAAGAGTTCTTATGCTTTTTAACGATTTTTTTCTTCTCTCGTTAATATCGTCTTTTTTAGTGATAGAAAAGAAGTGGGCGGACAACAAATTAATGAGAGTATAAATGTGAATTTTGAACACCTGGATTCAATTTGTGGAGAGACATATTATGCACATAGATATATAGGATATTCATTATTACATTAAGAAAGCTTCGTGGTCTACATATTAGGATAATCATAATCATTATTGCATAGATGTGAAGTGTTTCAAAAAAGGACTTTAATTATATCTATGGTGGGTCGACAAATAATAAAGGTGACATGCCATGCCAAGCCATGCACCTTAGTTTATGGGCGTGCTGTCATTTGCTAAAATTAAAGGTTTGTCATTAGCCATTTGGTTTTGTATAATTTTGATAATTTTTTATTCAAATTAAATGTCAATTATAGATCCATTTTATGTGTATGATTTTGATAGGAATTGATGATGGTCAGAGATGAAAATTTTGTAATAATCAACCAATTTAATCTATCGATAGAATATCAAATTTATCGACCATAACATTCAATTAATCAAATTCGTATAAATTCAATCCATTTGGATTAGTGGATTCCCGGATTGTTGGTAAATACTCTTTATTTTTTACAATTTCATACATACTTTTAGTTTTTAAATGAAAAATATCATTATAAAATTAAATTTTGGTACCTAAATTTTTTGTTATTACATTTAGTACATAAACTTTTTAAAATTGTCGCATTGTTCCATCAATACATGAATCCACCAATTCATTTTATCCAAATTCATGAATCCACTATAATCAATGAATCCATGAATCTACCATTTGCCACCTTTAAACTAATGACGCTTATTATTATTATCTAAGTAATACGATGAGAGGTCGAGTTCATCACACTCATTTCAATATAAATGAAATGAACCACTTTGAATTAAATTAGCTAGCTAATAAGTCGTTGCATTATTACGATTTCTACATTACTTATATTCCTAACCATGTGTTTGAGCCTAACTGGGTGTAGAAGGGAGGCTCGTGAAAATGGGTCAAGAGGAGTAAGCAATGGAGGAACGATTGTTATGGAGAGGTTCCGGAGATTATGAGAAGAGTGGAAAATGGAAGTGGTTTTAGAGAGAGAAGTTGATGATCTTAGAGATAGAGTCTGAAAAATCCGATCCCCTCACCCACCGGAGTAAATGCCATATTTATAGGCTACATGTTGGTGGGTGAGTGGTTGGGTTACAAGTGGGCACAATGATGTGACCACTGACATGTCAGGGATTTAGGCCATGCTTTTAGGACCCTGATGTGACTACTGACATAGCAGGACTATACCTAGGACTGTGATGGTGACTACCCGTTGGACGACGCGGCGCCGCTTCTACAACTCCTCGACCAGGGCCCACGTCTGTCCCAAGCGTCGTCGCTCAGTGTTTGCTCGCGCCTCTTCAGGGGTGGCTTTTGCCTGCACGCTTGATTCCGGCGTGGCTCGCGCGCTTGGCTCGCGCGCTTAACCTTGGCGCGACTCCTTAGTGCTTCTGCTTGGCTCGCGCGCTTAACCTTGGCGCGACTCCTTAGTGCTTCTGCCGTGGGGTGCGATCCGAGTCACATGCCCAACAATTGCCCCCCATCAGGGGGTATTCCGCGAATGCCCCCTGTTTGATCTTCGTGTGGTTGACTCGAATCCGCGCAATTCCGTCCTTTCCTCGCCATTGACCGAGGTGGGCGTGATCTGGACGAGTCGTGGCCTGTCCGATCTCTGCGTCATCGTCGTGCCCCCAGTGACGCGCGTTACCTTGAGAAGTTGGTGTGTCATGCCCCCCTGTTGTGCGCGTTACCTTGAGTTGCGCTCGTAGATCATGTTCTCTCGTTGGTGCGCGTTTGTCATGCCTCCCTGTTGTGCGCGTCACCTTGAGTTGCGCTCGTAGATCATGCTCTCTCGTTGGTGCACGTTACTTTTAAGTTGGGGATGGATTGTTTTTTCTTCCTCGCGGGTGTGTCCTGACCCCCAGGCGATGCGCGGCACTTGTGGTGTCATCGACTAGTATACTACCTATTCCTATGCTAGGTGTCCACGTGTCCTTGTGTGGTTGGCTTGTTTTGGCGGCCGTTTTGAATTTCGAAAATCTCTGACGGTTGCGTATCCCGAAGTAACTTTAACTGTTCAGCTTCCCTCCCTCGGTTATAAATAGCTGACATAAGGGGACCTGGGTTTTATTCTGCCATTTTGCCTCTTTCGATTTTAGTCTCTGTTCTCTCTTCGTCGGGTGTGTTCGAGAGTCCTCTCCTTCTTCTACAACCTTTCTTCTCAATCAGTTGTTGCCACACTCCGGAGTTTGCTATGGCTAACATCAACGAGATCGGGGTCGTACAAGACGAAGAAGGTAAACTCTCCTCCCCCTCACATGTTTCTTCTGATCCTTCGTTGGATCTTGACAATTCTGGGCATGGGGACGACGGCGGTGATGGTGGTGGTGGGGTTCCGGCGACGCCGTCATACGACGTCGATTCGGAACCGGGCAGCCGTGGCTCAGTAGATGCGGAGGCGACGGTGTCCGGTAACGTGGCGTCCGGCGTCGGAGCCCGTGGGGTGTTGATTATTAGGCGCGACCGTGCGGGTGCATCTGGGAGTGCGAGTCGTGATGCGCGCGAAGAGTCTGACGCGGCGCCAGAGCAGCATTGCGTCGCGCGAGTGTCCGAGGCGATAAGCCGCCTAGGGTTTCCTTGTGTGGGCGCGGCGTACACTATACTCGATTGGGCAGAGATGTGGGGCGATCAGCCTGCACCTCAAGATAGTCTGCTCAGGGGGCCCGATCACGTGTCGATCTACGGGAGGCGGGAAGTGACAAAGATCGTGCGCGGATTGGAGCTGCCCCCCCCCCCCCCCCCCTTGGGAGTATGCTATTCCCTCGACGCGGAGCACCGTTGGTAACTGCCCCGCCGGGTGGATCGGGGTGTACACCGAGTACTGGGTGATGGGATTCAAGTTCCCCATCGACCCGCTACTGTGCGCAATCTACAGGCGACTCAATTGCTCTGTGGGTCGTCTTTCCCCATCCGTCATTATGCACGCGAGTTGCCTCCGACTCGCGTGCAAAAGGCTCAACATCGCGCCGACCTATGGTTTGTTTCGTGCGATGTACAAAATCAAAGAGCCAACCAAGAGGAGTGACTGTCTCTCCATCAGGCGGCGCGACAATAGGCCCGACGGTTTTGTGTACGGGTCTCCAAAGCTGAAGAAGACGTGGTTCGAGCGCTTCTTCTATGTTAAGCCCACGCCGGGGGAATGGGCGAGTGAGTTTATGGAGGAACCCACTGTGTGGAAGAAGGGTAGCATCAAAGGCTACGAGCGCGACCTGGGCAAATATGACAGGCTCGACGCTGAGTATGAAGCGGTCCTGGACCACAAGTTCAACTTGTACCTGGGCGGGGTCCGCGAAGCTTGTTTGGCGGAGCTTTTTGCTGATGGTTAGTTACGTCTCTTTCCTTATGCATTCGATTATATTAACCGTTCTCATACAATTTATTGGCGCAGGTGTTGACTTTTCAAGCTTGGTCAGCATGATGTCTGTTGATGACGTGGTGCCAAGGGCTCCGCGGGCCTCAAGGGGCGAGAGGAAGAAGAAGAAGGAAGTTGCGCCATCTGAGCGCTCAAAGAAGAAGGAAGTTGCGCCTTCTAAGCGCAACAAGAGGAAGGAAGCTGGGCAGCCTTCGGCGGCAGAGAATCCCCGCAAGGCGGCTCGGGTAGATGCCTAACCGGCGCGGGTGGCCGAGCAGGTGGCTCAAGCTGAGCGGGCATTGGAGCGGGTGACTGAACGGGCGGGTCAACAGCTGCCGCTCGTGATTTTGGATGGGAACGCGTCCGGCGCACGCGTTGATGCGTCGCAGCGTCCGGAGAAGTCGGCGGCCGGGAGTTCTTCTGGTGCGACGCTTCAACAGCGGTTGCCCGAGATGGCTTCGGCCATCAACTACTTCCGCGACGTGCGGATTCATACCGGCGCTGCTTGCAACAGCGTGGCAGCAAACACCGCGCTTCGCGCGCTGGGGCCCCACCTGAGCATCCCTGCGCGGATGGAGAAGTCCGATCCGCTGCAAGACCTGGCGCAGATTCATTTTGCGGTAAGGTTATTTTTGATCGCTCGTCTTCGTGTGATCAGTTTTGCTATGTATTCTTTTGCTAAAGTCTTGGGGCGTTCGCGCACGTAGGGTTTGCTGGCGGCCTTCCGAGCCCAGAAGGAGCGCACTGTACAGTGCGCAAAGATGAAGGACGACGAGGCGAAGATCGTCCAACTGGAGGGAAAGGTTGTTGGGGCGAATAGCCGTGCCGATGTGGCAACCAATAAGGCCAACGAGGCCATGGAGGAACTCGGCCTCCTTCAGAGTAAGTTGGCTGCCGACGTGGAGGCTGCCAAAGAGCAAGTGCGGGCTGAGGAGCGTGCCTCCATACGCGCGCAGCTGGAGGCTTCCTTCGCCGAGAAGCTGAAGAAGGATCGCGAGGAGCTGCAGAAGGAGAAGGATGATCTGGTCCGGCTTCATCAAGTCGCGAAAGCAAAAGCCGTCCGCGCGGCCGAAGTCACGGCCGTTCGTCAGTTCAAGTCCTCCCCCTCCTTTGGGAAGGTCTTGGCGCACGCCATGACTAAGGCCGTGATCGCGGTCGGGAAGAAGGTTCGGCCAGAGAACCCGGGGATCCGTTGGGACACTCGCGAGATGGTTCACCACGTCAAGGTGTGGATTGGCGAGAAGCGGCCCTTGGAATCTGACTCTGAGTCTGGGGAGGAGGATGATGATGAGGAGGAAGAGGAGCGTCCTGAAGGGGAGAAAGCTGAGGCCGCCAGTGGAGGGGGCGCGAGTGGAGGAGGCGCGGAAGCTGACGACGACGAGGAAGAGAATGTTGAACCCTTGTTGCGCCGCAAGCCAAGCAGAGAGGATGTTCAGTCTGATACTGCTGGTGCTTGAGTGTTGTCGCGCTGGGTCATTTTTAGTCTGATGCTTTTGTTCTTGTTTTCCTTTTTTCTTTTTATCAAGTGTAGTTGCGACATTTGGTTGCTCCCGCTTAATTGAATCCAAAGAGTACTTATTTATGGCTTTTGTTTGTTCCTTTGAATCGAGTGAGCGCGAATAGTGCTGGACTATTGCTAATTTTTTTTATTCTTGCGAACTGAATGGGCGCAAATAGTGCTGGACTATTGCTAATTGTTTTTGTTCTTGCGAACTGAATGGGCGCGAATAGTGCTGGACTATTGCTAATTGTTTCTGTTCTTGCGAACTGAATGGGCGCGAGTAATGGTGAACTATTGCTTTGCGAAGTGACTTCTTCCCATTTCTTTGCGGCAAAGCGCAGTAGCATGAAAAATACATATTTAAGT